ATATATCTTTAAGTCTCTGACATGTGATGTGATTGATGTGTGTAGGTTCATGATCTGTTGAGACTATACAATGAAATCGATGTACCCCACGACCGGCTGCTATTCAAAATCCCTGCAACCTGGCAAGTAAGAGTTTTCACTTTTCAGAAAAATACTCAAACAAAGATTTCGTTTTTACGTCTCTCGATATGAATAGTATCGTGCTTAATCGCTCTCATAGGGTATTGAAGCTGCAAGATTGCTGGAATCCGAGGGAATCCAGACACACTTGACCTTTGTTTACAGGTTTAAACTCATAGTTCTACTCTCTATTTTTCATAATTTTTCATCTCATTCATGTTCTTCGTGATCTCATTTTGCATTCAAAATCAGCTTTGCTCAAGCTGCAGCAGCTGCTCAAGCCGGTGCATCTGTCATTCAGATTTTTGTCGGTCGCCTCAGGGTAAACTATGTTCTTTAAATCAGATGCTGTGAAATTTTTGTGATATGCTAAAATTAATATGTTAAACCCTTTTTAGGATTGGGCGCGTAACCACTCGGGAGATACTGAGATTGAAGATGCTATTAAATCCGGGGAAGATCCTGGTTTGGCCTTGGTCAAAAGATCATATAACTACATTCACAAGTATGGTTACAAGTCCAAGCTAATGGCTGCTGCTGTCCGAAACAAACAAGACTTGTTCAGTCTTCTCGGGTAAACTCAAACCAAAAAAATCTCGCAGATTGGACAAGATTTTGATTCCATTTTAACTCTCAATGGTGTCATCAAAATCAGGGTTGATTATGTCATTGCACCGTTAAAGGTGCTGGAATCTCTCAAAGACTCACCAGCCATTCCCGATGATGAAAAATACTCATTCGTTCGGAAACTTTCTCCTGATACTGCAACACATTACAACTTCACCAACAAAGAGGTTAGTTCTGATTTCTGAAGAACCTAACCAACACTCTTTTGTTTCTAGTTTCAGCTAAACTGATGTCTAACCTTGTAATTTGTTTGATTCTGGTTTAGCTGATCAAATGGGACCAGCTAAGCTTGGCTTCCGCTATGGGTCCTGCATCTGTGGAGCTTTTATCAGCTGGTGTTGAAGGTTATGCGAATCAAGCGAGACGCGTTGAAGAGCTCTTCGGGAAGATTTGGCCTCCTCCTAATGTCTAGATCAAACCTTTTCTCATCATCACTAAGCATATGAATCAATAAGAGAACTAGACTCATGTGTCTTGTTCATTACGGTTTCTGGTCTGAGACTTGGGCTACAAGATAAGAGACTTTCAAGCTGTACTGTACTAAAGCAATCGTTGTCGTATTGTTCGGTCTGAAACTTAAGGGTTTTTTTATCTTATGCAAATGGCTTATTAGCTCTCTGATCTCCGTCTTCATGGACGGATGCCCATCGAATTCGACGAACCAAAATTGAATTCTTGAAACCAATCGGTTCTATAAAAAGTCTAAACCCAAACTGAAATTGAACTTAATTTACAGTATCACGTCTAGAATACATTCCAAAAATGTTATCACTATATGAATAATTTAATACAATTTCTCTTTTGTTTCTTTTACTTTTGTCGAAACCAGATGGAGATTTTCCTACACAGAAATACCGGTCTCGGAAGAGCCTGAGTTTAGTGCCTATTTGCATTTGATGTATGCTCTTTTGGCTGACTCTAGATCAAAATGTGGACATTAATTGGCATCCAAAAACGATCTACATTATTTAACAAATTTCTAAAATATTTAGGAAAAATAAGGAAACTATTCATTTTTTTTTTGTGGAAGAGAAAGAAAGTTTATATACAAAAATTTATGCGTGAACCAAAGGAAAAAATAGCCTATAGATTTTTTATTTTTTTGAATCTAGAAATAGCCTAAAGATAATGAAGATGATGAACATAAACTTGTCCGTCTCAGTCAGATCCATGATCTAATCTCTGGTTACTTCTCTATCAACATCTTTGATGTCAAATTCTATAATTTAGTAATTAACACAAACACGCACTTACGTACAATTCGATTATCTAGTATAATAATTATCTTTTAAATGTTACATATATATATATATACTGAATAAGGTTGTTGACCAAAAAAACATTGAATCTAGCTCAGTCATTATTCTTCTGTGTGATTGTGTTTTTTTTTTGACGACGACGTGTGTGATTGTAAATTGTTGTGGGTTCCGTATCATTACGAATAATAATAACAATGCAAGATCGATTTGAATGCGATTTCATTAAAAATTCGAATAATTTCAGTGATTGACTGAGTGCATATCCGTTTGATTTATTGAAACTGAGGGATAAATAATACTATTATTGCTTTTTGGAAACATGTTATATTTTCGTATTCATTTCTAGAATTATTGTTTAGCAACAAATCATAGATTCTATTTCTAAAGGGAGACAGATAACGTGGGGTCTGCCAGAAACCTATTGGTCTTATACATGTGGATCTAGTTTTCCCACCTCCAACAATCATACAAGATCTTGTCTTTTTCAATTTGTTGGTTTTACGTAAAAGAGTGTAAAAATCCGTTGAATTGTGTTTCAATTAAAGACTTTAGAATGACGATAATTGTAAGACGAAAGCTTTTACCAACATATGGTAGACTATATTAATTTTATCAAATAGATCTTATCCGTTTATATCCATCACTGAAACTCAGATTCTATTCATGTTTAATGCTGGTACCGCATAATTATGGATTTGTTTATACTTTATAGTATGCTCAAGTAACTTTTTAGTCCCAGAGCGATAAATTTTTACAAATCAACAAAAAAATGAAAATGAGAACGTGAATGCAATAAGAGTTAAGAGAGACAAAAATAATTAAATTTTAGATCTTAATTGCTAATTAATAATTACCTCTCAATCCTTCAATCCCACATGCAAGTTGATATGTGGCTACATGAGGTTTCACGTGTTACAATAATTGTGTATTCTTGTATAAATCGACGTTGGTTGATTTCTTCTCACCATTATTGGACATTGGTTCCTGACAACACTACTGTGATTGATTGAGATAGTGTATTATATTTAACCAAATGTTTCATGTGCTTGACCAAACTAACAAGTCCTTAAATGTATATTTAATTGCATAACTAGTTTTCCTAGTAGAAAAGAAATTACTTCCTTACAAATTAGATCGTCGAATGAAAATGTTCGGTAACTAAAAATACGTTCGGTATATATAATTAAATCTCCATACTCGATCGGCCAAATCAAATCAATAATCCTCGTCGTTAATCAAATATTGTTTATCAATTTTGTGATCTTATTTCTAACAAAAATGAAATTTCCGCAAGCCCATGTTTTATAGATCTTAGATCTCAAAATTGTTCTTAAAATCTACCTGGAATACATATTCGCCGTTGAATTGTATTTCAATTAAAGTTTTAGTTCATCTTTACACTAATAGTTGGCCGGTGTGTGTCGAGTTTTTCTATGTTTATTTATTATTAGTTCAATATTATTCCTCAAGTTAAGTTTGTATAATATCAATCTTGTACGGAATTCGGAATTCAAAGTCTTGGAAAAGATAAATTAGTTTCGTGTAAAACGAAATGAATTTCGTATATGAGTCACTAATCTCTTCATCATTAAATTTAGTTAGTTAAAAGGTTTTTTTTTTAAGTATCGTATACATCATACTCTTACGCTACAAAAAAAAATTGAATTTAGGTATACGATAACAACACTATAACCTACATTGGTGGGTGCGTATGGTTCACTCGGACTCGTTTGTAGTGTTCTTACCACGATTACGATAAAATTGTTAAAGTGGTAACATTATCCAACGAGGGCGCAAAAAAATATATTTGGTTACACCAGTTATAGGCAACAATAAAAACGTGTGACAAGCAATTAAATGTTCTGAGACTAAATAAAGCTTTTACTGTAATTAAATTACATTTTCCTACATTTTTAAACTAACTTACAAATCTTGGAGTGAAGAGTAGTACATTTAAATCGGCAATCAGCAGAAGGATAGGATCATGACTTGTTCCATGGAGTATAATTTAGTTAACAGATACTCCTAATTACTAATTTTGAAAAATATTCGTTTTTGATTTGAATATAGAGTTGAAGTTCTGAAAATGCGTGAACAGAAGATTCATAACCGAGAAACATATTAAATTATGAAGTCTATACTATAGTAATGGGGTAAAATAAGGTAAAGAAAATCGTTTGACGGTAAAATAAACATTTTCCAACACAACCGTGAAATCGCCTTCCTCCTAGGTGGAACTCAACTCGCGTTGCATTTACCATGGCTTCGCAAACCGAACTTGGTGCAAAAATTAACTAATGAAACCAAAAAGAAAACAGTAGATAACATATGCATTGCAAAAATGAAAAAAAAAAAAACATATTTGGATCTTCATCTGCAATGTAAAAAAAAAAAAAAACCAATCTACCAAGTCAATTTTTTTTTTTTTTTAAGTCCAAGTTTTTCTCTCTATGGATCAGCGGTTCAAGTTCAGTTTTTTTTTAAAAAGTGTAAAGACGTGGACAATTCAGTATAAAACTCATATCATTGTCATAACCATTCAAACAAACGAAAGACTAATAAACAGATAAGGACGAATACATTTGTTTTCCTAATGAAATTGTTTTACTTTATTTTCCATTTTGAGAAATTATATTAGTTTAAGATTCATGAGCTAATCCAGTGTAGAATGGTAAAACTACTAAAATAGAAAATACAGAAGAAAATAAGAAAAGAATTTTTATATTTACTCCACTTGAAAAACTTAAACTAAATAATGTTTTTTCTAATAATGATTTAGACACGGCATTAATAGTCTAATACAGAGAAATTACAGTTCTAATTTGTAGACCAACCTCTTTACTTTTGACATTTGGACACTATTCTCTCTCTTCCAGCGAAGCAGGAAGACATAATTCTCTCTCTTCTTGTGTGATTCAATTTTTTTTTTAAAAAAAAAAAATTTGCCGATATTATTTATATATAAATGCACTTGCCCTTTCTCGTGCCATCAAATCTCAAAAAGAAACTCGAAAACGAGAAAAACAAAAAAATGGCGAGCTCCGATGCTCTCTTGCCAATCTCCGCCAGAGAAGAAGACCCATTGTTATCCGACGGGTCAAGATCCGACCCGAATCTGGAAACCCATTTCCGTAGACGACCCGTTAAAGGTCTCCTCGCTGTCTCATTTGGGCTTTTGTTTATCGCCTTTTACGTCGCTCTCATCGCCACACACGACGGATCTAGATCCAAGGACGCTATAATCGACGAAACAGCGACGTCAACGTCACGTGCTCGTCTCGCTGGCGTGTCGGAGAAAAGCAATGATCAGCTATGGAAACTTTCCGGCGACCGGAATACGGCGGCGTTCGCCTGGAACAATAGTATGTTGTCTTGGCAACGAACGGCGTTCCATTTCCAGCCTGAGCAGAATTGGATGAACGGTACGCGAAAATAATTAATTAATTAAAAAAAATTATTGATTTTAGTTCTTGTTTAATTAATTAATTAAACACGAATTTATTGATTTTAGTTATCTGTTAATTTGGTAGGACATAGCAGCAAAAAGAAGAAAAAAAAGTCGTTCTTCTTTTTCTTACAAATTCAAAGAATATTCATTCTTACTTTTCATATATTTTTTTTCCATAATCTTGGAAATAATGTTGATCAGATTGCCAAATCATCTTGGAAATAATGTTCATTAAAATCTAGCGAATTTTAATTTCATACTAATAAGTAATTACTAATTAGTCTCTGATTTTGTTCTAATCTTTTTGTTGGTTCTTTTGTTTCCCTTTCTCCTCTATGGTGTTGCTCAATGGCATTTTTGGGCTTTTCTTTCTGCAGATCCTAATGGTATGTTCACTTTCCTCTCTTTTCTGAATTTCCTGCTCATAAAGAAAAGGTTCTTTTAATGTAAAATATGAAAAAATTATAAGAAATAATTGGAGCGACAAGAGGTAGTAGATCACAGAGCATCATATCACACATTGCACGTTGTAGCCAAAGTTGGTATTAAACAAAAAAAAATACTCCTAAAAGAGTAAAAGGTTCACAGACAAAATCAGAACAGAGTTACCTCACAACCAATAGCAAAATGAATATTATTTAGTTTAACAAATTAACCAATAGCAAATTGCCAGTTTGCATCCCACGTGAGATATACATGCTAAAAGGATTGGTTGCCATAGAAAAATAATCTTGATTGTATAAAGGATCTCTTGTATAAATCATCATGAATGCAAAGTTTGGATCTTGTCTCGAATTGGATAAGCCAGTGGGGTATACTCAACTATGATATATTTCGATATGAAACCTAGAACTTTCTCAATGTACTAATCAGAACCCCCAATATTTCAGAGTTATTCTCATTTTGACCCCACTAAAATAAAACGTTTTTACAATTCTCCAGGTCCATTGTTCTACAAGGGATACTACCATTTCTTCTACCAATACAACCCAAACGCTGCCGTATGGGGTGACATTGTTTGGGGTCATGCCGTGTCCAAGGACCTGATCCATTGGGTCCATTTGCCCTTAGCAATGGTTGCTGACCAATGGTACGACTCCAACGGTGTCTGGACCGGCTCAGCCACAATCCTCCCTGATGGCTCTATCGTCATGCTTTACACCGGTTCCACTGACAAATCCGTACAGGTATGCATCTCGAAATAATTTCAACTTAACATATCAATGTTTGAATATTGGAACAAAATCAAACTGACGGTTTTAAGGCAGTACCATTATAAAACAAAAACCAGATCTAACAAAGTTTTGTGATTTACTACCAATTTTTGGCTCTATATATAACAGCTTATAAAACTCTAATAAATATGGTTAGATCCAATAAACGATCAAATCCAACAAGTTTTTGTAAGCAAAACACTACTTTTTTTTTTTTTACTAATTTAAAACCCTTAGAACTTGGTTATATTCAACGGTATTTATATGAAATTATGTGTGAACATGTGATAATCTTTTTTATTTATAAAAGTACTATTATTATTTTATATAGTATAGTAGTAGTTCACGAAAATGATTTTTTGAATTGTTTAGGCAGAAAATAGACTTTTAAGTTTATACAGCCAGATTTTTGGCAAGTTAGATATTGAACATGTAAATTAGGTTTAATGATTTGATCAATGATCTGTTTAATTAGGTCCAAAACCTTGCCTACCCTGAGGACCCCAACGACCCTCTTCTGTTGAAATGGGTCAAATTCTCTGGCAATCCGGTTCTCGTACCTCCACCTGGTATTCTCCCAAAGGACTTCCGTGACCCAACAACTGCGTGGAAGACATCAGAGGGCAAATGGCGGATCACAATTGGTTCCAAGATCAACAGAACCGGAATCTCGCTCGTGTACGATACAACCGACTTCAAGACGTACGAGAGACTCGACACATTGTTGCACGCAGTTCCAAACACCGGGATGTGGGAGTGCGTTGACTTTTATCCTGTCTCTAAGACCGATGTCAATGGGCTCGAGACATCAGTCAACGGACCGGACGTGAAACACATCGTAAAGGCTAGCATGGACGATACCAGGATCGACCATTATGCCGTAGGGACGTATTTTGATTCGAACGGGACATGGATCCCGGATGATCCAACTATTGATGTCGGGATTAGTACTAGTTTAAGATATGACTACGGAAAGTTCTATGCTTCGAAGACGTTTTATGACCAGAACAAGAGTCGGAGAATCTTGTGGGGTTGGATTAGTGAATCTGATAGTGAAGCTGCTGATGTACAAAAAGGCTGGTCTTCTCTTCAGGTATGTTTTGTTTCCTTATTTTAACGTGCTGTTAAAGTTAGGTTATTTTCTTGTGGTTGCTTGTAATTCAAGCTATCGGCTAATCTTTTGCTTATAATATGATTAGGGTATCCCAAGAACCGTTGTCCTCGACACAAAGACAGGGAAGAACTTGGTTCAATGGCCAGTGGAAGAAATCAAATCTCTTAGACTAAGCAGCAAGAAATTCGACATGGAAGTTAGTCCCGGGTCGATGATACCTATCGATGTGGGTTCCGCGGCTCAGCTAGACATCGAAGCAGAATTCGAGATCAAGAAAGAATCTATCGACAAAATCCTCGGAAATGCTTCGGTGGTGGCTGAGGCTGAGGAATTTAGCTGCCAGAACAGTGGAGGCTCCACCGTCCGTGGTGCTTTGGGGCCATTCGGTTTCTCAGTTCTCGCGGATGAGAAGTTGTCGGAGCAAACTCCGATTTACTTTTATGTGGCTAAGGGAAAAGATTCAAAGCTCAAAACTTTCTTCTGCACAGACACCTCAAGGTATTCATTTCTTGATATTATCATAAATAAAAAGTCTAACCATAACATATTCAACGATTAGTTTTCACATTCTTGGATTATGAAAAATAACATTTTCTTGTAACAGGTCATCTTTTGCAAACGATGTCATTAAACCGATATACGGTAGTGTCGTACCGGTTCTCAAAGGGGAGAAATTGACCATGAGAATATTGGTAATTTAATTTACTAATTCAAAACTATCCTTGCATTTCCCCATCATTAATACAACACAATGTGGATTGAATTTTTTTTGTCCCTTTCATGTTTTAACAGGTGGATCATTCGATAGTAGAAGGGTTTGGACAAGGTGGAAGAACATGTATAACGTCAAGAGTATATCCGACAAAAGCCATCTATGGAGCAGCGAAGCTTTTCTTGTTCAACAATGCTATTGATGCCACTGTTACGGCGTCGTTTACAGTCTGGCAAATGAACAGTGCTTTCATCCACCCTTACTCTGAGGATGTTGTCCGTGCTCTCTCCCGCAACTAATTATTTACCCCACCTCCATTGAAATTCGTTTTTTCATAATCTTGTGTAGATTATTTGTTATTATTATATATGGTCTCGGGTTTGGTCTTTGATTCATCATGTATAAGAAAAAATGGCACTGAAACAGTATCATATGATTCTTGAGAACTTTTTTCTCACTATCATTATATAAAGGGTTGAAAATTTTGGTGAAATAAAGTTTTTTTTTTTGTATTGTATTATAAAAAGGGTTGAAAATTCTGGTGAAATAAAGTTTTTTTTTTTGTATTGTATTATAAAAACTAAAAAAGGTTGAAAATTCTGGTGAAATAATTTTTTTTTTTGCATTGTATTATAAAAAGGGTTGAAAATTCTGGTGAAATAAAGTTTTTTTTTTTTGCATTGTATCATAAAAAGGTTGTAAAGTTTGGTGGGATAAAGTTCGGTTGTTTTGTATTGTAATTTTGATTTTGCATTTCTTTTTTCATGAAATAATTAAAACCTTCGGAACTGGTCAGAAGGTTCAAAAACAGAGCTTTCTTTGGCTCATCGTCAAAGTGTTTGGAACTGTTTCGCTTCTTCCTACTGCAATGTGTTCTCTTCAATATTCTTCCTCAATCGAAATTTCATTCGAAACCCAAAAATTCGTTAAAATCCCTCTCTTCCCTCGTCTATATCCCATCAGATCCCGTAATTATCCTCTTGTGTTGAGGGCAGCGACGTCAAATGAAGAAATTCCTCCTAATGCCGTTCGCCGGAAAATAGACCCGGACTGGAGAGGTGGGTTTAGTCTCGGCGTAGATTTGGGGTTATCTCGGACCGGAATCGCCATTAGTAAAGGCTACACTGTTCGACCTCTCACGGTAGCTTCGAAACTCTCCATCTCCTGGCTGCTTAAGAATTAGTGAATTGATGTGACTTGGGTATTATTAGGTTCTGAAATCGAGAGGGCAAAAGCTCGAGACCAGGCTATTAGAAATTGCCGAAGAAGAGGTATAAATTTCGAGTTTTTAGTGTAATTCACAGAAATCGACGAGTATAAAACCGGATTTTTGCAGGAGGTTGATGAATTCATAATTGGGTTGCCGAGATCTTCCGACGGGAAAGAGACGATCCAGTCAAACAAGGTTCGATCTGTTGCCGGACGGCTTGCAGTCCAAGCCGCCGAGAAGTGAAGCACACTCTCACAATATACATACGTTTATGAATATCGACGAAGTGTGATTTGATTAAATTGGTGAAAGTACTTGGCTTTTCAGGGGTTGGAGGGTTTATGTATTGGATGAACATGGGACATCATCTGAAGCTTCGGACAGAATGATTGTAATGTTAGTTCCTTTTTCTCAATCTTTCTGCTCTTGGTTTAGCAATTTTCAGGTTTGATGCCTATCAAGGTTTCATAAGCCTGCAGAGACGAAGAAATCGAAACATTTGAACAATCTTAATGCTCCTAAAACACTGAGCTTCCATGAGAATTCCGGTTACTTGTGTGAATGATTTGAAACTGCATCCTTTTCTTCCAGGGGACTCCGCAAGATTGAAAGACAGAACAGAGAAGATGCATTCGCTGCAGTGGTAAGGCAATGAGAACACGATCTTGAATTCTAAATTAAGTTTATATCTGGGGTTATGATCGAATATCTTACGTTACAGATACTGTTGGAGAGATATTTCTCTACGCAAGGTCTAGGAACCGAGATTATTCTTCCAAAGAGTTTAGACCTTCAAGAGAAGATCAAGAAGGGTGCACTTGTAGACCCCGACTTTTTGCCAGAAAAGCTCGAAGAGTATTACACATTCTGAAGTAGTTTCGGTATATACATTCAAACACAAGAATAAACTTTCTGGTTATGGTTGTGTAGTCACAAAATGTTTTTGAACAAAACTTCTGGTTAAGCAAAGATCCAATTTTTCTCTGCTTTTGTGTTCTGTTTCACAAGTCAGAACAGAGTCGAGTTAAATTGTTTGAGACTAAGAAATTTAGAAACCAAGAACAAAACAGGTGAACAAAAGTGATATACGTGTACACATCTTGCCCAATCAAAGTGGATAAAACTGAAATCTTTCACACGTGCGAGACCATGCCTTCTCTACAAAGTTGAAATTAGCATTTCTGTTCTGCAAAGTTTAGACCTTTAACAATGGCTTTCTCTTCGCTCTCTCCTTTACCCATGAAGTCACTTGACGTTTCGCGATCCTCATCTTCTATCTCAAGGTCTCTGTACCATTTTCCGAGATACCCATTGAGGCGTCTTCAGCTAAGTTCTCATTCAAACCCAGAAATCAAAGATTCGTCAAACCATAGGTGAGACTCGAACACTTCCGTTGCAAACGGAGAATCTCAATGTTTCCTCGTTTTCGCAAATTTTGGGTTTTCAGAAGCTTATGGCATCGAATTGTTTTTCGAAAAGGGAAGATTGCTGCTCCGGCGTAGAATCGAAGACGTGGAAGAGGATTTTATCTGCAGCATTAGCAGCGGCACTTATCGCCTCGAGCTCCGGCGTTCCGGCCTTGGCAGAGCTTAACAAGTTTGAGGCCGATACACGTGGCGAGTTTGGGATAGGATCGGCTGCTCAGTTCGGTTCTGCTGATCTCAGGTATCATATTAGGAGGGTTCTTGCCAGATTTGCGTTGAAATATAAAACTTTGGAGAATTTTCATTTGTTTTCGATGTTGGATGTTCGCTGAGATGAACACTGTTTGTTTTGCAGCAAAACAGTTCACTCCAATGAAAATTTCAGGTAAATATTTGCCTATCTTCGGTGATGGAAATTGGAATCAACATAACAAAGTTCAAAAGTTTGTATCTTTTACGATTTGCACAATTTCTCTAATTGGAATCTTGGATCAACAGACACTAAATAAAACCAAATCTGAAGAAGCAAGACTTTTGTTATACTTCTGAATTATGTGTAGTGGATTACTGATATTGTTGCAGAAGAGCCAACTTCACTTCTGCAGACATGAGAGAGTCTGACTTCAGCGGTTCGACCTTCAATGGCGCCTATCTCGAGAAAGCGGTTGCATACAAAGCTAACTTCTCAGGTAGTCTCTCTTAACTGTGCTATCACTTAGCCTTCCATTTGCAATGCTTATGGATTTTTGGGTATTTTCACAGATATCCTTTTACTAGACTTTTCTGAATCTCATTTCCTTTGCCTCCACAAATCATACTGTCCGTGTTGCATTATTAATTAGATCCATCATTCCTGACAATTTTAGCTCTCCTAGAATTCCCCTAGAATTCGCCTGGATTTTCTTTTGGATTTGCTTCTCAGAATTCCCTAGTCTTTCAAATATATGTGTTAGCCTCAGAAACCTGAGATATGATGACTTGATTACGTGTGTGTCCCAATAAAGTCTGGCAAGTCTCTATGAGCTTACACAATTATTAGGTTGGTTTGCTGTTTCAACTACTTAAGCCCTTGAAACAAGTTATATTTTAAATAAAATTTACTTTCATTCTTCTCATCTTCCTTAATCTTATTTTGTGGTTTGGAACTCTGAAAAAAGTATAATTTTTGATTCTTCAGGTGCTGATTTGAGCGATACATTGATGGACCGGATGGTAAACTCTGTACTTTGTATATATACACTTGCATATCATGCATTTTCATTTCGGTTAAAGCTCGATTCTTTTCTGGCGATTTTTAGGTGCTAAACGAGGCAAATCTGACAAATGCCATTCTTGTCCGTTCGGTTCTAACCCGTAGTGACCTCGGTGGTGCAAAGATCGAAGGTGCTGATTTTAGTGACGCTGTGATTGATCTTCTTCAAAAACAGGTAACCTTGTTACTTAACACACCATTACATTTATCCGTAGCTTCCATTAACAGAAGCTGAAAAGGCATTTTTTACAAATTGTGCTCAATTTTGTTTTCGAAGGCTCTGTGTAAATACGCAAACGGGACAAACCCATTGACTGGAGTGAGCACAAGGAAGAGTCTTGGATGTGGAAATAGCCGAAGGAATGCATATGGCTCGCCTTCGTCTCCTTTGCTCAGTGCACCGCCTCAACGTCTGCTCGGCCGTGATGGATTCTGCGACGAAAAGACCGGTCTTTGTGACGCCAGCTAGTTTCAATTTGTTAGAATCATGTGTGCGATTACAATGCTGATATACATTTGTGTCTCTATATGTTGTGTAACGCTAATCATGTATTGTATGTTTATAGTAGTATTGAATTGTAAATGACCGGAAAACAAAAAAAGAGATAGAGATAGCACTGAAAAACGGAGATAATGGATCCATTTTGTCTCTAAGACAAAAAATAAATAAATCCAAAAGCCTGTTTAACCGGGGAATATTTCTATTCTCTACCTAGGTTGTCCCCTAGCACTCGGCAAGTCAGTAATTTAAAAAAAATATTTAATTACTTTTTTTCTTACATAGATGATAGATCACATAGCATGTGTAAAAAAAATGAAATCATAATCACAATAGCATTTTTGAAAAACAAACGGTTGCCCTAAGCAATATGATTTCACTATGAGAAATTTGACATCTTGTTTGGCATTATTTACAAAAAAAAAAAGTTTCGAATAAGAAATAAATGTTTTAATATGTGTGACAATTCAAAGAAACTGTTGAACTTGAATAAATACAAATCTACTTAAATTCAAAACATATTATGGTCTTGGGATTTGTGGCCTAAAAAGAAAGTGAAAAACACTAATGATGACACTTCACATGCTTTTGTCTCATATTATGCTTACTGAATGTTACTCTGAATTTTAGATCGGTACAGCATTGGTGATTAACTGGTATATAATCGATTTCTTTTTTTTTTAATGGGTGATAATTTTTTTTTTATAGGTTACCGAAATAGTAAGAAATTTTTGGATATATCATTACCCTGTTTGTCAAACCAAAAGAGCACGCCCAAATCATGATGTTCCTTACACCAAAATTAATGGGGGAATGATTTACGAAATAATTCCACATCGACAAATGAAATAATATTCGTCGCTTTTCGTTGGACTATCTTGCAGCATATATAGGCTCATAGCGATGAATGTTTTTACGGAATGTTACAAATTTACAATGGACTATCGTATGGGATGGAATTTGCGATCAAGTAGTTTACAATATGTATAAGTTCGAGTTTAAGACAACTGATCATTTGGTCCTATCAGCTTTTGGTGAAGGTTTAAAGAGTAGTGGTCTATGATGTCGTATATCACTATGTATCGCAGTATAACCACAAATTATTCATGTTATTATGAGAAACAAGAAAAAAAGTTGTCATCAGATACAATACATTTATTCATATTATTACATTTAATCATAAATTATATTCAATAATCGCAGTAAAATAGTTATTAAAAAGATTATCGAAGTAAATTCTAATCTACGGTTTCTTTTTGTGCCGACCTTGAACCAAACACAATAATTATAAAATCCTTGATGAGAAAATTTAAATGCTTTATGCTTTAACTTATTCTTTCTTGTGACCAAAAGAAAGAAGAAAAAAAGGTTCTTCGTTCTTTTTCCACGGTCTGTCTCTATATAACACAATCTTGACTCGAGCCAACATGTCATTGAAATTTCTATACCTCCTTCACGCCATATTCTTCTTCTCCTTGTTTTTCATTATTTATGGTTACACACACTCTTCAGGCTTCGTTGGAGTTATTATACCCATGAACACAACTCAGGTAAGTGGTCAGACCTCATGTTTTCATTTGATGAATTCGCTACATACCTATGAACTTGTGTAGATTATAATTTATAAGTATGTTAGTACTGTACAGGTTCAAAAAAAAACATCATTCAAGCATAGTTCTCCAGAATATGAAATTCAAGAATCTTAAATTTTTATATTAAAATTGAACACCTCTAATGAACAAACTGAGATGTGGATATAGTACAGCGTATCTGATACAAGTAAATTTGAGATAAATAGCTCTTTGTTTTTTTTTTAAGTGGACGCGTATTCCTATATATAAGTAATAACTAGGAGATTATTTAAATTTATAATAATAAGAAGAGACAATGGTCTATTAGAAAAATTATTAAAGTTACATTTAGATTAGAGTTTATATGGTTAATCATATTGATTACAAGTATACATGCATAGATACGCAATGTATCTCTATGCATATATATAACATAAGTTGAATAATGTAGTAAGAATCAATCAAAGCAAATATAAATCTTTACCACCATCATCATCATCTACACTTGATTAGTGTTCGTGTGTACGTATATAGATATATGTATATATGCATTTATATGATATCATCTTCTCCTTCTGCTCACTTCCATAGATCAATCTGACAACTCGAAGAAGTAGAAGCAGCATATTCTTCTCCCATGTCTGAAACCCTTTTTGGATCTTTTTCTTCATCAACTTGGTACTCCGCGTTGCTTGTATCCTTGGCATTGTTCTGTAGAGAAGCAGAAGCTGTGGCAGCCTCCTCGTTGCTTAGCTGAGAAGCAACAAATTTATCGAGAACTCTCCAGTCCGTGAGTTGGTCCATCGCTTGCTCGTTTCCGCTATTCATGTATATAGAGCTGAAACTCTGATTCCCTTGATTCAATCGTTCCTCACGCGCGAGATTAGACTGCTGCAAATTAGCATTATGGCTTGAGTTATTATCGATGTTGCTTGTTCCATAAGGAAGAGAGTTGCAATTACTATTATCTTGTTGGATCCTAGGGCTTTCAAGTTGAGGAAGTTGGAGGTATGATAAAGGAGATTCATGAGGAAGATGATGTTCTTGTACCAGATGGTTGTATTGTAGTTCTAGCTCTTGCTTGCATCTCAAGCTATTGTCATTGAGAGTGTAAGCAGACGAATTGAATCCATATGGCAAATGCTGTTGGTGCTCGTGTTGGTGCTGCTGATGATGAAGATTGGGGATAATCCGTCGTGGACCATTTGTCTCGAGCTCAGAGGCCATAAAAGAGAGCTGATCGTCATACCAATGTGAAGGCGACGAATCGTAATCTCCCATTCGTCTAACTGCAGCCAATCTCTTCTTGAAAACCCTACACACAACCCATCCTTCTTCCTACAACCAAATATCATATATCAAATGGATTTAATTAGGAGATGATAGATTGTAAAGATAACTTATGCTTTAGGATTGATATTATACCTGAGGAGTTCCGTTTTCATCGGTTTCCAAGCGGTATTCGTGCATTATCCAATCGGATTTTTGTCCATTTGGGGCTCTTCCCTTGTAAAACACAAGTGTTTTCCTCATACCAATGAGACTATGCCTCAAATATATAGCCTTGTCTCTTCCGGTTGCTTTCCAGAACCCTGCTTTTGTTGCTCTATTGGTTCGAGTCCCTGTGGGATACTTCTTATCTTTATGGCTAAAGAAGTACCAATCACTCTGCTCTTCATGCCCAATTTTGCACAACTCTATGAAAGAATAATAAGAACATTTATAACAATCACTCCTTAGGAAATCGAATCAGATGATTGAAGAAGGGTAGAAATCGTGGGATTTGGCAAACCTTGAAGATCCCATGGCTCAATCTTGTAAAGATCAATGTCCTTTATGAAATCGATTTCTATTCTCTTCGATGCAACTTTTTTCCTCAAGTAGTAGTCTACAAGTTCTTCGTCTGTCGGGTGAAATCTAAAACCCGGAGGGACGTGGGAAAATGAATTCATCCTTTGCTCTTCTTGATTGATTAATTACCTGCTTCTAAGAGAATTACCAAACAAATTGGAATTAAAATATTACAAACATAAGATATTGTTATAGCTAATTACATTTTCTACGTAATGTGGTTGTATATTATTTCGACATAAACTTATGATTGCGCGTCTATATAAGCTTAGTTTATAAGAGAATGATTTCTACATTCAAAATCGACATAATTAAATACCGTCATACATTTATTTATTACAAGAAATAGTTTTGGTACATCTATGATATATGAATTAAGAACATTCAAATGGTTAGTTATCTTTCTTCGAGAAAAGCTAATTTGTTTATTTAGATTTATGGTTTAGATTTGCTTTTTCCAAAAAATAAAATCAGTGAAAATAGCCGAACAAATTTCCTATTATCATATGATGTTTAATTTATCTAAATAATTAGATGCATGAATTTCAAATTTATATGTACTAGATGTAATAAAACTGAAATTAATTTCTGCTTATTTATTGCTTCATTTGTATAACACCATCTTGTTTTTCTTTTTTTTTTTTTTTTTTTTTCATGCAAGTAAACCAAATAAGTAAAGATCAGACGATGAAGAGGAGACAAATCTTTGAAGAGATGATGATCCTACAGCACAAGAGGTTAATTGCCTAGACTGTTGTAGAAAATCTTATGGTCTAGCTATCTCAACAAGAAAAAACCCTACTTCTTTGTGTTTTTGGGTTAAAGAACCTTACTTATTTGTTTTATATAGTAAAATGATATTTCAGATTTATATGATACATATTTTGCTTTGCTTGTAACATCAGCAACATTGAGTATGACGAGATGATGATGCTTAAGGTGATTATCGAAGATGACGATAATAAAGGATTAATAAAGAAGATTCAAAAGCAAATAAATTACCGAAAGAAGAAAAAATACCCAAAATATCAGAGACTGAATCGAAAGTTGACAGAAAATTAGGGTTTTACCTGAAGAAACTCTAGATGCAGGATGATCAAGCTGAAACCTTTTCAATAGCTTCTAACAAAGCTTAAGTTTCGGCTATTGTATGATCCTCTCGTACTTGCTATAGCTAACATCAGAAGTTTGAACACTCGATCACAAGACTAGAGAGAGATCCCTGAAAGAAGAATGGACAAGATTTGACAGTGCCCCTCGGGAATAGGTTACTTGAAAGAGATACCGGATCCCGAGAGAGAGAATGATAGAAAGAATGGGAAAAGAGAAAGAGAGTAGGGTTAAATAAGAAGATCATTCGATAAAGAAAAGAAGGAGAGCGCACACAAGACACAACACAAAAGATGACAATCGTGTCCTAATAATCTATTATATTTAACTTACTCTCTCTCTCTCTCTCTCTCTCTCTCCCTATCAATCATACTTCCTATCTCTCTTAGTCGTCTTACACCTAGAGCGAGAAAGAGGGTACTTTATTTGTTGCAAAAGCTTCGGGGGAGAAGAGAGAGGAGGATAAGGGGGTAAAGTAAGATTTAGAGAGAGAGAGAGAGGTGGCAACATCCATTACCACCCACCAGCTCTTGATGGATATGTTTGATAATCAATATTAAGGTTCTTTTATTTTAAGTCCTCACATTAAACTTATTTTCTTGTTTTTAATTTGGACTTCTTTTATGTCCAATAAAATGTCTTCTATCCTTACTAAAAGTAACTCAGCTAGTTTAGAACCCAAAGATATTTGCTAGTTTGATGGTAGATATATGAGAAAATCTTTGTCAAAATATCTATAGAGATCCAGAAATATTAATATATAGTGATCATTTCGATAGCTACTGTAATTGTTCCAACGTCACTGCACACAAAATACTTATCGCTAATTGACTGACATTTTATCTACAGATTTCATATATTTTTGTGATTTTCATTTCGTAAGGATTTGAAGATAATTTAGTAACGAATTATTCACCAATTCATAGGATTATTACCCAATCAAGATTTGAATATACGAGTGATTCATTCAAAACCGTGTATCCCCACCAATAATTACTTTATTATGTGAATTTACAATTTTCTTATAGGGAATTGGTTTTCATTCCCCCCCCCCCCTTCAAATTCTTTGTGCTAATATTGAAATGTCCAATAGATATACATTTTGCAATGTGACTAAATCTTGGAACTAAACCAATAACAGATAACATCACATAATTATATTATTTTGTTTCTGTAAAACAAAAATTTCCCCAAAATTCACATAATAAACAAATATGCATATACTTTCTTTTTTGGATAAAATGGTTAAAGAAAAATAAAATATGTAGGTACTTCCACTTACATAATCATTCCGATGAAACGAAATGTGGAGAATTACCAAAAATACTATAAAGAGTATGTATCTCTTTTTGTGTGTGTAAAAGTGTATGTAACTTCTTGAAGAATACCTGCAAAATGAATTTACATGATACTTTTGAAAAGTAACTATTACTCTATATGTACGCTATTACATAATGTGTGTATATATACTTATATATTGGCCTGAATATTTTCATTCTTTGGAAACTCAAAAAGTAACCATAGAGTCATAAACATCCACCCGCTTCGTTTGTACACATCTTCTTAGCTTGTGTAAAAAAATTAACATTCTTTAGTTATTCTCATCTAAAGGCTTAACTCACAACCTTTTTTTTTTTTTTTTTTTTTTAACTCACAACTTTTACATAAAAGTTTTGGCCATTGATTATTATTCAACAAAAAGAAAACGTCAAAATGATTAATAATTTATGTGTTTTATATCTAAAGCCAGACTAATCTTCCGGATGTACATCTTTATGTAAAAAAATAAAAAAATTTCAAGTATTCAACGATAAGATGCATCCAACGAAAATCAATATCTAGCCTTGGTATTTGGTAAACATTTAAGTGTAAAATATCTAGCCTTGGTATTTGGTATAAATTTACAGATTAAAGGGTTTAAATTTATTTTTAAACAATTATTTACACGTTATACAAACTACCGAATTTGAACATCTTCTTAGGGTTTGGTTGCATTAAAGTAAAACTGTTAGCTTCGCTAAGCTCAGAGCCGCCGAAACAGCTGGTAAAACTGTGACTCGTTCATAACCAAAAAAAAAACAAAAAATAAAAACAGCGAGGAGTTTGAGCGGGTGTAAGTGGAACGGGGGACCCACAAGGAAAAAAAAACGGAATGATGTGCTGACGTGGCGGCTGCCGGTCCGGCGTGAGCGAGCCCTCTATCATTATTCTCACGATTTGCTGTTGCAGGCCGGTTGGCCACGTAGGCCCCATCCCGTTTTCCCGTTCTCTTAAATCTTAATCCCTCCTTAATTTGTTTTCTTATTTGCCTTAAATTTCTTTTACTCGGTCCAGTTAACAAATTACTAATTACACATTCTTTTTTGAAAAAAAAAATTAATTGTGTAACTAATATATGATATACAGTTTTTATAACACAAACGAACTTTTTTTAGCTCGAGTCCATAGATTACTCAGTCATAATTACTAAACAAATTAATGGATAATAATGTAATCTCTGAGTTGAAGAAAATATATCTTATCACCCATATTTTATAGTCATACATATGTATATATATACATGGAACTACAATTACTTTCTTCAATATATGAAACAATTTCTACATACACGTATTTACACGCTATTTAGAGAACAGATAGTTCTCCTATGTTTATATCTCCACATTTTATGATCAATCTAAGAATCCAACACAACACATTCGTATACTTTAGTTTCTAACCCGATGCAGAAATTTCCTTACAAAATATTGTGCGACTTATCAAATTTCTTAGACATAGGTTAAAAAAAAAATTTCTTAGACATGTTTTTCTTGCATACTTTAATTTCTTTCTAGAACTTTTTAAATTCTATCCGTGAACTTTTAGATTTTAAATTTAACAATAACCTTGACATGATCATTTTATGTTTTTCGTAAATATGTTTTATTCTCTATAAACTTTATATAACCCTATTATGGAAGGGCAGGATGTTGAACGATTAAGACTAAACATTCGATTAAAATTACTGTATTGCATCTAATCGTATTGCCATTCAAGAATATGATGTTATCACATTGCACCCTAATCGGATTTCCATTCACAATTCTAAGTTCTATCTAATCACACTACTTTTACACTTAGATCATAATGTGCACATTCAAATAAATTTCTAAAAAAGGAAATATATATACGATAAACAAAACTGGTTCCCCTATTAACTATATCAATATCGTGTAATCATTTAACTAATTAACTAACCAACTAACAGGATAATATTTTAAAAGTACATATTAGGTAAGTTATATTTAGAATATAGGTATAGTTAGTGTTTAGGTAAGTTCATCAAAAATCGGATGGTTATGCGGCTGATGTTAGGGACTTCGGGGCAAAGATTTGGTGTCTAATATATTATATATCATAATTTAATAGAACTCCAGTAAAGAATTATAAAAAAAAAATTAAATAGAGAGGAAATTGGATATATAATTAGTTTTTTTTTTTTTTTTTTTGCTTTTGTGTGTTGGTGAAACGAAGCATAGAAGTGAAGCAAAAGTAAAGACCGTGATCCTCAAAGTGTCTTTTTTGGTCCCACTTCGCCTCTTGTCCATTACCTATTTGATATTGAAATTAAATTATTGCAAGCAATTCCACACTTTTACTGTTTATATTTCTAATAGCTAAAAAGTGTTTCTAGTTCACTAGTTGATTACTATAATATAATGGTTTCAACTAAGGCACAAATGACAGTTTCATTAGTTAATTTTCTTTTGTTAAATATTAATATAAGTTTTGGTTTGGATTGGTGAATGGTGAGCTCTCATTGGGCCACCTACCATATAAGAGTTTTCATATAGAATCCAAAATTATACGTTACAATTAACCCACAAAATGGTCAATATAATACTTTTCACATAGATCCTGCTGAAATTGCAAGTTACCAAGTATGAATAAATATAATAAATTTATTAATTATAGTATTGGATTCTAGAAGAAGAATATCCACGAATTTCTACCGAGACTAATAAAAATTATATCATGCTAACATTTTCAATTGATTGTATAAAACCTTCAAGACAACTAATTATACTATCCTATATACGCATGGGACGAGGTGGCATCAAATTTCTTATTAAATCTAAAATTTTAGTTACCTTCTTATAAATATCCTGCTACTATACATTATCTTATAACCTATAATGATTTTTTTTTTTTTGGACACAATAACCTACAATGATTATCATGACACATTAAGTATAATTAAGGCCTGAGATATTATTATGACTATATATATATATATTGTGCGAAACTCTATATATTATGTATAATTGAAACTAAATCAACGGTCCAAGTCCAAGGCTTTTTATTTTAGGGTTTTAGAGGGAATTTGCGCATGACCACGTGGAGTAAATTTATTCGATGAGAAGGTATATTTCTTTCACAATTTGTCCATAACCCTAATCATTTCGAAAAACCCTAAGAATTAAAACCACGTGGGAAAGTTTGTTCCTCTTGTCAGCTTCTTGTCCCATGAGAAAAACTTGTTACATGTGAAAACACTTCCATGTGAAAGATTCTACCATCCTACTGAATTAGCGTTTGGTTTGATCTTACAGTTACCGATATATAGTTTTTATGCTGTATGTCAAATTGGTCTAGTTTTTTGTCCGATATTCGAGTGTAAAAGAAAATATTTTTAGTATTCGAAGTATACTCTGCCCCAGTAAATAATTTTTAGCCCCACCACAGTACCATTATTTATATATGTAATAAACAAGCGCACATAAATTTCTAATAATTAGTAAACTAATTATCATTAATTATTATACGTAACAATAATCTAAATGCATGGCTTTAATCACTATACCATGCACCAAACGACTAATTATTTCATGCGATATATATATGAATCATTGAATACGAGAAATTACTGGATGATTTACAATTCGACGAATACTAACTCAACAAACTCAACTAATAATGACCTTTAATTAGTTTCGGTTATGATTCCAGTATTCCACTCCCCAATTCAAGAGATATAAAGTAACCCAATGAGATGTAGGAAAACGTTTTGGAACGCATCAGCAAGCATATGTAAGCAAAATTATATTTGAGTTGACTGTATCAGGCAGTATTCAGCATGTATGACTCTAAAAGTCAACCATTTTGCAAAAACAAATATGCACACCGACCCTCATGATTTCACAGTTGGGTGCAGCTCAAGGCGTGTGACTAATAATTACAAGATATATTTTATTTATATTTTTCATTTACACATAGTTTTACAATTGAGATGTAAATGGAAATGGGAATTATGATTGCATTTTGGTTTATATGTCTTCTTCGGAACAATAATACGAATTATAGTAGTAATCATATAAGTTTCCAGATCTATCTACAGTATACACCGACATTTATATTTGTTTTTAAGTGTATTGAAATTACTGGATGAATGTATGTGAAACTTGCTAAATTTTTGAAAATAATATAATTTGCTTTTGCATCCTTCATCATAAGGAAAAACACATAACATAACTGAAATCTAGGATTCAGTGTAAATGTCATAGTAACCATTAATTAGAGGCTTCAAGATGAGAGAAGAAGACGAGAAGACGGTTTCAGAACATGCCTCTTCATCAAAAACACCTGTGCTTAAACTGAAAAAACAGTGGAGAAACACCAAGAACAGCTCTCTGCAACCTCGCATATCAAAAACATCGAAATTTACTTTCCTTGTTGCATCCAGAACAACTTGTGCAGGCAGAGCATGAATCAGGACAGGTTTACTTTTCGCAGGAACGCGTACCGTGACTTTAATTAGAGCTTTAAATAAATGTACATTGGATTCAGAATTGCTTAGTCGTCCTTCTCTAGAATCCTTGCCTTGTTTCACAAGCAACCCGTGTTTCTCAGCTACTATGCGTAGTGATGGTTTCTATTACAATTTTCCTGTAAGGAATTTTACACCGAGACAGTAACCTCTGGCTTTACTGATCTGTGAAGCTGCGTGATCAGCTGCTTCATGGACCTTTTGAGTTCTCTTATAAGCATGGAGAAACTTTATAAATAGACCCTATCCCATTTTTCAGCACACTCACGGCATAAAACAATGCCGTTTCCAAGAAGTCTGATTATTATTAAAGGCGATGAGGATAATTATAACCCGGATAAGCACCTACTAACAAACAATACCCTCGCATCCAAACAGCTCCCCCTTCCTCAAAACCCCAAACAAAAGTCTTTTACAAAGATTTTAATTTTTATTTTTCGAGTTTCCCAATACACAAGAAAGAAGAAGAAGCTCAAGCGACTGCATAATCTCAGATTCAACCATGGCGGACGAAGCCAAAGCTAGAGGAAACGCTGCTTTCTCTTCCGGTGACTTCACCTCCGCGATACGTCACTTCACCGAAGCCATCGCTCTTGCTCCAACCAATCACGTCCTCTTCTCCAACCGTTCCGCTGCTCACGCGTCGCTTCACCACTACGCCGATGCTCTCTCAGACGCGGAGAAAACAGTCGAGCTCAAACCTGATTGGCCCAAGGGTTACAGTCGTCTCGGCGCTGCTCACTTAGGGTTAAACCAGCTCCAGGAAGCCGTCGCGGCTTACAATAAGGGGCTAGAGATCGATCCGAGCAACGAGGCGTTGAAATCTGGATTAGCCGATGCTCAGGCGTCTGCTTCGAGGTCACGCGCTGCGCCTTCGACGCCGAATCCTTTTGGTGATGCTTTCAAGGGGCCTGAGATGTGGACGAAGCTAACGGCGGATCCTTTGACTAGAGGTTTTCTGCAACAGCCTGATTTCGTGAACATGATGCAGGAAATCCAGAAGAACCCTAGCAATCTCAATTTGTTCTTGAAGGATCAGAGAGTGATGCAATCTCTTGGAGTTCTATTGAATGTTAAGTTCAGGCCTCCTGCAGGGGATGACGCGGAGGTTCCTGAGTCCGATATGGGTCAGACTCCTAGGAAAGAGCCGGAGGTGGAGAAGAAACGAGAACCGGAGCCTGAACCAGAGCCGGAGTTTACGGAAGAGAAGGAGAAGAAAGAGAGGAAGCAGAAAGCCAAGAAGGAGAAAGAGCTTGGGACTGCTGCGTACAAGAAGAGGGACTTCGAAACTGCAATTCAGCATTATTCTACAGCAATGGAGATTGATGATGAAGACATCTCATATATCACAAATCGTGCTGCTGTTTATCTGGAAACGGGAAAGGTACGATTTAACAATGTCGATATGCTAGAGTAGTTTTTCATGAGCTACTACAATGGTGATTAGTTTTGAATGTTAATGTGTTTGATTTGTTCAGTACGATGAGTGCATTAAGGATTGTGACAAGGCAGTGGAAAGGGGTAGAGAGCTTAGATCAGATTACAAGATGGTAGCTAGAGCTTTGACTAGGAAAGGGACTGCATTGACCAAGTTGGCCAAATGCTCAAAAGACTACGAGCCTGCAATTGAAGCTTTCCAAAAAGCACTTACAGAGAACCGTAACGCGGAAACATTGAAGAAACTGAACGAGGCAGAAAGAGCTAAGAAAGAGTGGGAGCAGAAGGAGTATTTCGACCCTAAGATCGGGGATGAGGAGCGTGAAAAAGGTTCTTTACTTTTGCAATTAAACATTTTTTTTGTGAGAAAAGAAAAAGCATTTAGAACCATGAAAACAAGAACGAATTAGCATCTTTACTGCTGCTGATATGGTGTTTTTGTATACAGGTAATGAGTTCTTCAAGGAGCAGAAGTATCCTGATGCTATAAAACATTACACTGAAGCAATCAAAAGGAACCCAAAAGACCCGAAAGTAAGGCCACTTCGTCACTCATATGTTCTCGAGGTTTTTTCTACAATGATTTCTTATTTTGACTGTTTGAATAACTATCTGCATTTTATTTTCCTGCACCTCATGTTAGGCATATAGCAACAGAGCTGCATGCTACACTAAGCTTGGTGCGATGCCTGAGGGACTAAAGGATGCAGAAAAGTGTATTGAGCTCGATCCAACTTTCTCCAAAGGATACAGCAGAAAAGCCGCAGTCGAATTCTTCTTGAAGGAGTATGACAACGCGATGGAAACATATCAAGAGGGTCTCAAGCATGATCCTAGTAATCAGGAACTTCTTGACGGTGTTAGAAGGTATATGTATATATATTTACTCTCACATGCACAGAGAGATTATAAACTCTCTGTCTTATGCCAATGAATTTGCCTAACATGGTTCATATCTATTCTGCAGATGTGTACAACAAATCAACAAGGCTAATCGTGGGGACCTTACTCCTGAGGAATTGAAAGAGCGACAGGTTAGACTCTTGACGATTCTCATGTATATTTCCCACTTTCCCAATTAAAAGAAAATCTCTGGTTGTGAACTTTGGATTTTCTCCATACTTTTCTTGTGTGTAGGCAAAGGGAATGCAAGATCCAGAAATCCAAAACATCCTCACAGATCCTGTGATGAGACAGGTAAAGAAACAGATTTCATCTTTCAACTTGTAAAATGTGAATCAATTTTCTTAATACCGATATTACAACCTCTTGTGAGTTTTTAGACAGGTCTCACTGTGTTTGAGAAATCGGATTTGTATATTAGTATATGCCTCTTAGACAATCTAAAAACCTTCTTCTCCAAACAGGTACTGAGCGATCTTCAAGAGAATCCGAGCGCGGCACAGAAACACATGCAAAACCCAATGATTATGAACAAGATTCAAAAGCTTATTAGCGCCGGAATTGTCCAGATGAAATAATAAACCCAGAGAATAGGTGTCAGACATCAAATATCGTTTTATGCAGAATCATTTTTTTACTCTTATTCTGATCTTTTGAAACTTGCAACAATTATAAAAACGGCCTTGGATTCGATTGTTCAACAAAACAATCTATTTCAAATTTCATTTCTCGGTTCTTCTCCATCTCCATAATTGGATATTTGTTCTGTCGTAGAAAATCCAGTACAGAGTGAACATACTCAAAATCGAGTACGAAACGTGTGATCCGAGCAAGAGAGGATACAGAGTGTGTAGTAGATAGTCTCGTATTCTCGGTAATGCTGAAGAAGAAGACTAATTGGCTTAATCTCATGATCTGATCCGGTTTAGTCCATGCTTTTCCCAGTTCGATTACAATATTTATAAGCTATTACAAATATATAAAACAATTGTATATCTTCTAGGATAAATCAACAACGTAAGAAAGATTATATGAATATATCATATATAATTACAATCCAAAGAACATCATAACAGACAATACAGTAATAGAGAAGATAGAAGGTCCATGAAGATGAGAGTCTTGTTGAGACAGATGATTTGTTTGAAGCATTTTTGCGGATGCTCATTGATTGTACAAAACCAACTTGCATGATGGTAAGAAACGGAGTCTTGTCGCTTCGTCTTCCCATTCGACCTTAGCTTTCCATTCTTCATCTCCATATTCTATGACAAGCTCTGCACCCGCACTGCAACTTTGAGAATCCAATGGAAGCTTTCTCAGCTTTCGACAGTTGTTTTGTACGTTGATCTGATTCAGACATGGAAAAGGCAAGGTGCTCCAATATATGCTCTTCAGTTCAGGTAAATCCCACAAGTGTAGATACTCTAGGCTTCTAAAAGGAACAATATCAAGCCTTGAAGCTTGCTCTTGGCTTATTATCTCTTCTACTTGGCTTGAGTTCCAAACATTGAGATGAGTGAGGTTTGGAGCAAACAAGAGCCACGTCAAATCCTTGAGACCATCGCAACCAGTTATCAAAACTTTTGTTAGCTTGGCAAAACATGGACTTGTCAGATTTGTGTTCCTCTCTATCACTATCTCTCTCATTCCACATCCCCCTATGAAAACTTCACGGAGATCTTCTACCGTTGGCAAAGTCAGAATTCTGACTGATACTTCGTCGAGGTACTTTATAGATACCTTTTGAAGACATCTCACCAACCTCTGAGAGCATAGGAGTTGTTCCAATGGCGAGCTTGACGTGATCTCTATGGTTAGAACTTCTAAATGTTCCAAGCGTTTTAGCTCCTCCAATAAGCTCATAGTTAGCCACATTGTGAAGTTTAGTAGTCTCAACGTCTTCAAACTCGACAAATGTGATATCCCTGAAACACTCTCAAGGCACAACATAGACTCTAGATTCAGATGCATCAGGTTTTTCAGCTTTTGCAAACCAACCGGCAATCTCCCTATGTTTGACTCTGACAAGTCGAGATACCGCAAGGAAACCAACTCTGATATTTGCTCCGGCAAACTATTGAGATTGACGTTCCATGAGAGATCCAAAACAACTAATCTTGGCATACACCGGAAGAATTCTCCGGAGATATTCACCAGATGGCGATTATCTTGAAGGAACAATGTTGTGAGTTTAGGACACTCAGGACTGCCATGTATCTCTTTGATCCTGTTATTCACCAATGACATCCTTCTCACAACTTTCCAATCCTTGACCTTTGGTATTTCGTTTAAACCGGCACCGGTTCGTACGATATATTGTCCTTTATGCTTCCCAAGATCAGATGATATCCAAAGAGCCATCTCTCGAACCACATCATGCATTTTCACATATGACTTATTGTTGTATTTTCCTCCTTCCAACAATAACGAGGAACACACAAGTGTACCGAGTATCGTGTAGCCTTGGTTCACAGCTCCTTCTTTACTCTCATATCCATCAATGAATCCTTCGCATATCCAATAATCTATCAACCTCTCTTGCTCTATTAAACTGTCTTCAGGAAACAGAGAGCAATATCGGAAACAAGACTTGACACTGTCACCTTCAAGATTATCGTAGCTGTACTTCAAGATCGGAAGAATCTTCTCCTTGACATCACTAAAATCCGCAGCATACGTTTTCAAAGCATGAAACGCGTGACACCATTCTTGTGTCGTCTTCTTGCATGACATTGTCTCTCCGATGACGTTTAGCGCTAGCGGCAAGCCACGGCATGCTCCGGCAACTTTTCTTGCTATTTTGGGAATATCTGGATGTCTTTCTAGTGTGGCTTGTCCAACTTTCTTCTTGAACAAATCCCACGCATCATTTGTACTTAAACATCGTACTTCCAATGGATCATGAACCCCCATGCTCGTACATACGCCTAGACAACGAGTGGTGAATGCTATTTTGCATCCGTTTTCACTTGTTGGATTCGGGATTCCAATCTCGGTTAAATCTACTTTCCTCCATATGTCATCTAAAAGCAACACAAATCTCTTCTTGCTTAGAAAATTGAGTATGTCTACTGCCTTTTGGTTTTCTCTTTTCTTGCGCCACTCCACACTTTTGTATCCTATTTTTTCTCCAATCTCGTCTTGTATCTGTGGATCTTTTGATCACCAGAAACCACAACCCAAATGACAATCTCAACGCCATCATTTGCGTCACACAAATCAACAAACTTATTGTTGATTTGTGTGAGAAGTGTTGTTTTTCCTACTCCACCATACCGTAGAGACCCATAATCTTGGTTCCATCATGCATGAGTCGGTTCCATGCCTTTTCGAGAATTGTTTCCTGACCAACGATCTTTGGTTGTAAAGGCCTCTCCTCCCACACAGCTCTCGTAGCTGGATGAGCCACCTCTTCGAAAACCCCTTTATCTCTTAAATCTTGAACCTTTTTCAACATCAAGAAGACCCTTTTCCCGTAGCGACAACTCAATCTTAAGTTCTTGGAAGCAGCACCATAAAAACACAACCTTTGAAGTTCAACAGTTCTACTACTATCTAGTTCGTGGAATTGAGATTCGATAGTCTCGACTCTCTTAAGCCATACCTTGATTTGGTGAAGCCTTTGTTGACGACCTCCTTCTTCTGCTGCTTGCACCTTCAGCAGCAGATCGGCTCGCACTGCCTTGAGATCTTCCATGGCTGTCTCCAGAGCCGTGAGATTCTTCTTGAGATTTTGTATATATTTAAGTTTGCTGCAAAAGCAGCTACCGAGACGGTTCAACACTTGATCGCATGATACTTGGAGTTGGAGAGAGACACAACCACCCATCTTTGCACTTGACACACAAAAAACAGATTGCAAATAGGAAGCTTAAATCTTGACTTTGGAAATATTATAGTCAATCAGAAGCGAAAAAATTAGGTGGAAGAAAGAGAAATTTAACTCTCCACCTTGGAATTTGCTGGAAATGGCTTGAATGAGTCAAAAGTCTTGTTTTTTTTGTCTCGTCCATATGCATGGTAGCATCGTATTTTTTATGTAATATAAGCAAGATTCCAAGAACATGACCATTGTAGACGCAAATACACTGGCTATGTCACTTTCATTTCTACTAAACTATCATTGGGAATTTTTTTTTTGATTTTGCGCCTAATAAGTTTTTTTTTCCTTTTTCAAAAGCTTCCTTTAGTTATTCGTTTAATTTTTCAAAAAAAAAAAAACAAAGAAATTAACTCATATCGTAACAGATAAGTGGACATAGTTTTAACACAACGTTAATGAAAACAGAGCGTCTCTTCTTCTTCTCTCTGTTTCGATCTTCATTTTCTTCCTTGTCTCTATGCAACTTCAATAAGAAAACTGACGCAAACTGATCTGCAATGATCCAGAGGTTTAAACAATGTAATTACCAGGAATTTCAGAGAGATATTGGTGCGAAGAGAGTTTCGGCCTCTACGAGTGACTGTCCGGAAACGACAACTGTCACGTGGTGCGAGGAGGAGTCGTTATACAACAATTCAGTGGAGATTCCTATTCAGTGGGTCCACGTGCAGCAACTAACACAAGCGAACAAGTCACAACACTCATAAATAACTCATAACTGGTTTGAGAACGATTAGTGGTCCAGCGAAATATATTATATATTGCCTGTTATTGATAGGAACAACAGTACAGTATATAACACAAACCAACAAAATATATTGTGAAACGCTCACATAACAATAAACAACATTATAATACATAAATACGTTTTAATAAAATTCGAGTAATCACACCAATTTTCGAAAGAAGATGCAAAGCGAGAAGCAGAAGAATGTGACAGTAGAGACATAGATTGAGAAAACTGTATGGGCTTTAGATGAAGGAAGATTGGAAACGGAGTTTCGTGGCTTCGTCCTCCCATTCAATACCGTTGATCCAATGTCTCTCTATGCATTGGATAGTAAATCCTTCAACCTTGGCAACACTATTAGAACCCAATGGAAGCTTTTTCAGGTTTGAACACCCTGCTACCCTAATTCCTCTCAAACATGGAAATGGGAGACAACTCCAATAAATGCTCTTCAACATCGGTACATTATAGAAGCTGAAGTGTTCCAAGTTTCCAAAAGGAATGTTGGTACCTGCCTCCTTCTCTGTGACAGCTTTCTCTTCGCTTATTATATACTCTAGTTGCACTGAGTGACCAACGTTAAGAATAGTAAGGTTTGGAGCGAACAACAGCCACGTCAAATCCTTCAGACCGTTGCATTTACTTATAGACACGGTAGAAAGTTTGAGGAAGGATGGAGTCGTGGGACTTTTGTTCCATGATGAAGTTGCTCCCACTGTCTTTATCTCCGTCATTCCACATTTTTCTATGTCGAGGTAACGAAGCTTATCCATAGTCGGCAAAGTCAATATTTCGACTGATTCTTTCTCAAGGTCTTTGATATCTAACATCTGAATACATTTCACCACCCTGTCAAAAGACGACAATTGCTTTGCAACCAAACTTGACCTTATATCTATGGTAACAACTTCTAGATCCTTCAAGAGCTGCAACTCTTTCAATAAGCTCACATCTATCAACACGGTGGAGTTCCATAGTCCCAATCTCCTCAACCTCGAAAATTTTGATATCCCCGATATACTACCAAGTCTCCTCGTGGATTCCAAATTCAGATATATCAGCATTTTCGACGACTCCTGTAAACCAATAGGCAGTCGCTCTATTTGTGAGCCTGACAAGTTAAGATACCTCAAAGCGACCAACTCTGATATTTTCTCCGGCAATCCATTGAACCAGCTATTTTCCGATAGATCCAAAACGAGTAGCCTAGGCATACGCTTAAAGAATTCGCTTGAGATGCTTGCCAGCTTGTTTTCTTGTAGAAGCAGAGTGGTAAGTTCAGGACAGTCCGGACTTTCGGAGACATGTGCAATCTCATTGTTCATCAGTGACAGCCTTCTCAGAGATCTCCAATTCTCGACTTCCGGTATCTCACGTAAACCAACTCCGGCTTTCACAACAAGTCTCCCTTTATGCTTCCCAAGATCAGATTCTATCCAAAGAGCCAGCTCACGCATAACATCATGCATTCTCACTTTATAGGTTGATTCTTCTTCCACCAGTAAACAGGCACGGACAAGAGTACTGAGGATGGCATGACCTTCGTCGAATGCATTTTCTCTACCCTGTTTTTCTTGTATGAAACCCTCACAGATCCAATACTCAATCAACGTATCTTTTCTGATATTAAAATCTTCTGGAAACAGAGAGCAATATAGGAAACACTTCTTCTCATGCTCTTTCTTGAGGCTGTCGTAGCTATATTTCAAGATTGGAAGAATCATGTCATCCATTCCAGAAAATTGTGCAGCAGATGAAGTCAAAGTTTTGATTGCATGACGCCATTCTTGTATTGTGTTCTGGAATGACATGGTCTCACCAATTACATTCAGCGCTAGTGGTAGGCCATGGCATTTTCCTGCGACTTTTCTTGCGAGTTCGGGAATGTCACGGTGACTTCTCAGTGTGTTTTCCCCGACTCTCTCTTTGAACAAATCCCAGGCTTTGTCGGCGTCCAGACAACCGACTTCGATCGGGTCCAAAACCCCCATGCGTACACACACTTCCCTTAAACGAGTGGTGAACACAATCTTGCATTTGTTTTCCCTGGTCGGTAATGGAACTCCGACATGATCTTTTAGTTCCACTTTGCTCCAAATGTCATCCAATAGCAACACAAAACGCTTCTTCTTCATGATTTCTTTTATTTTAGAGGCTTTTTGTTCTTCCGTTTTTCTGTTCCACGTCTCCCCTATAGACATGCCTAGTTTCTCAGCAATCTCATCTTGAATCTTCTCGTTCCGTTTATCCTTAGAAACCACAACCCAAATCACTTTGTCAAACCCATTTGCGCCACAAAACTTATTGTTGATTTGGTCGAGAAGAGTTGTTTTTCCTACTCCGCCCATGCCATATATACCCATAATCTGGGTTCCCTCATCCATGAGATGGTTCCATGCACTTTCGAGTATTGTTTCCTGACCAACAATGATTTGTTGAAGATCCCTTTGCTCCCCAACATCTCTCATAGGTGGCACAGCCACCGCATTGAAATCTTTAGTTAAATCTCGTTTCTGGAGCTCTTCAACATCTCCCAACATCGAGAAAACCTCTTTCCCGTAACGGAACCTTGATACTAATTTCTTTGAGCGAACGACACAAAAAAGAGACAACCCTTGAAGTTCACTAGTACAAGCCATTTGCGTTTTAATTTCAAGGGCCTGTTTCTCAATGGTCTCGACAGCCTTAAGCCATACCTGAACTCCTTTAAGCCTTTGTAGTAGTCCTGTGTCCTCGACCCTCTCCACCTCTCCCGACACATCATCTCGCCTTGCCTTGAGTATTCCCAAGTTATTTTCCAGAGCCTCCAGATTCTTGTCGAGACTACAAATATGGTTGACTTCGAGACAAAAGCAGCTACAGATTTTGTCCACCAGGAATTCGGTTGCTTTTGAGATACCACCATCCATCGTGTACTTGACAGACAAAAGAGAGATTCAACGATTAAGAAGAACTCGGATGTTAAGATCTTGGAGTTTGTTGGTAATTTTTGTGAAGGAGTCCAAGTCGTCTATGTAGTTGAACACCCTCACAACTTGAATTTCAATATAGTAAGATCCCAATAATGACAAGGATTAATTACTAATATTTATACCACAACTTGCAATTTTGTTGTAGTTTCTCACTTCCAAGTCGTCGCTCTGTAGTAGAATCAGCAATAATGGAGAGTTTTCCTATGATTTTCCAAGAACAACAATTAACAAAGATGATGCTGGTTTCAGACGCAATTTAAAATTGTTCTGTCTTTTTCATTTGTTGAACGATAAAAAAAAACATAATAACGAAAAATCAATAGAAATGAAATAAAATGGGGAATCTATAGACTTACTAACTCACAAGCAAGGTATGAATCGGTCTTTAGTGGCTCTATCTTCCCATCGAACCCTTTTAATCCATTTACCATCTCTGTAATATATAACAACTTCTTCACCACCAACGCAACTTTCAGAATTAAGTAGAAGCTCAGTTTTGGACAATTTTCTACTTCAATATTCTTTAAATAATCTATCTTCCATTTCCTCCCAAAAATTTACCGCAATAGATAGAGTAGCGGTTGTGTTTGAAGAAGTACCTCTTGTCTTTTTGAAACACTAAACCGGAGTTGCACAGTTTCAAGTCGTATGTGCTAGAATAACCCCCTCGATGCACCTTGGAAACTGCACTTCATCTTTGACCTCCTCGGTTGAGTTGCCCAAAAGAAGCATTTACAAAGAAATGGATTCACTTGAATTACAAAGAGCCCGCTTCAAGAAATTCTTCACATAGACAATTCATCATACAAGTGGTGAGCATCTCACTAACACCTCGCACTTAATCTCCTGAGCTTCCATATCAAGAATATAACCGGAACCCGAATCAATCAGGTAAAAAAAAAAGAACCGGGACCGTCACTTGGATTTGTCTCATGGGGATCCTTCCTTCCAATTATTATTATTTATGTGCTCTTGTTTGCTTTTATATCTGTGTTTTCTGGCGGGTATTTATGAGTCACCGCTGTGTATATATCATTGGCCCGTGTTCTCATATATTGCCTGAGTCAGTGAACCGAAATTTTTACTCACTCTATTGCTTATATATATATATATATATATATATGTATATATGTCCTTTTTTTTTCACCGCTACATTACTTCTTTCTTATCACGAATATCTTATATATTTGGTTTTCACACGATTGTTGTTGTTAAAAAGGTAACAAGAAAGATGCATCTAAAGAAATCAAGATTTGGAGCATGCATCAGATTTAAATTTCGGTGAGAGCTAGCATGTTCTCTGTTATTCATTTACAACATACTATCCCCAAAAAAGAGACAAATTAGCAGAATCCAACAGCAGACAAGATCATGAGATCATTTCGAAATCTTTTTACTTTCCATTTAAGATACCAACACAAAAGTCCTGGGTAATGAACAAGAAGATAAATGTCCCGTACAAAGATGAGCTATTATGCTTATTTACGTGCAAAAGATTACATGATGCAGAACACGAGATCAATTCATGAACGAACCCAAAGCTACAGGAATTCAGTGTTGGATATCGAAATCAGACACATTTCAAGATCAAAAGAGTATGACCCAATGGAATCAATCAGATTGCTTGATCCAATCCAACGAATTACAATAGACATAAAGAGTGAAACTTTTTTGTAAACAACGAGAGCTTTAAACATTCTTGGAATAAAAAGTAGGAATCACCACACAACATTTCCATTAGAAAGGAAACAAACAGGAAGAACAATAAAGTTAGTACACTATCCCAGAGCAATTCCCAATTGCAAACATCCCTAGGATTCGCTCGAATCAACAGACAAGAGTAAAAACAAATAAAAATTCGAATCCAAATTTCAAAAATTCAAATTCCAAACTTAGATCTCACTTAGCGACCATCCTGGCTATGAAATCCTCATACCGGATCTTCCCATCGGATCCAACATCAACCTCCTTGATCCACTCATCGAACTCGTTAGGCTCCAGCTTCTCTCCGATACTGGTGAGGATATGCCTCAGATCCGCCACCGCCACGAACCCCGTACCTTCCTTGTCGAGCACCTTGAAGGCGTCGCGGAGCTGGCGATCGAAAGGTTCCGTCTTCAGGTGTTTCGCCATGAGATCTAGGAATCGGTTGAAATCAAACGGCGACGAGAGGTTTTCCGATGCGGTGATGGATTTCAGCTGGGCCTGGGTCGGGTTTCCGCCGAGGGATCGCATGAGGATCCCGAGCTCAGCCGGCGCGATTTTGCCATCGCCATCGGTGTCGAAGAGCATGAAAGCCTCCTTCATCGACGAGACCTGGTCGTCGCTCAGACCATCCTTGCCCATTTTTCAGATTCTTCCGGGTTTTCGGGTCAGATTCCGGGTCGGGATTTCTCTCTCTTTGGAAACAAAGCTCTTTGCTTTTTCCTGTACAACGAAATTTGAGATCGGAGTGTGGTGTTTGCAACTTTTAACGAGATAGGCGATGATACGGCATCGTTTTAGTATAGATCTAAGGCCCAATCAAGCCTGGCCCATTTCATTTATGTAATCTCTCTTCAGATTTTGGAAGATGATGAATATCATAAATATACCCTACGAATCATAAATCTAACCAGTTGTATCATTTCCCGCTAAAAATTGTTCCCGTAATCATAGCGATTATCTTCAATGTTGATGAGTGAAATCAGTTGGATAAATGAAAGACCCGTAACTAAATTCGATGATGTGGTTTACCTCGTCATCATCATTCTTGTTCCATAGAGCTAAACTTGATTTACGATTTATTGTTTTGTCGGTTTGTCTTTTATCAAATAAATCATCTAAGATAAATGTTTAAGTGTGTGGGAGCTTAAAATGCTTGATTCCACCATACAACAAATGATTAGTTTGAGAAAGTGGGGTAAAAAGGAGTAAACATGACCTAATATTTCTTTAAACCATAGCCTATAGAGTCGTTTTCAAAGTGACATAGGAATTATAAAAAGTTTGTATTTGTCCCACATAGTTGGATTTATGGGGCACAAAGACAATCGGTGAAATGCATTGGTCACAATCGTTGTATATAGCATATGATATCATCATGTGATTTAAAAGGCACCTTCCACTTGGATTATATTCACATGTTTGAGTTCTATACTTTATCTTTCTTTAGTGTGCTTTGAAAAGTCATTCACTTGTTTGAATTTTATGCATTATCCTTGACAATATCCATTACCCCCTTCTCTAGATGGAAAAAAGTATCCAACACCTCTTATCAACGATCGTTGAGACATTATCTATTATATAATCCAACTGAGAGAAGATTATTCAAAGTATATTTAGTGATCATTTAGTGCACCTAACTTAACTATTTAGAGAACAATTTATGTTGATGTGAGATTCCACACCAAATATGGACAAGGACTACTTTACGCGTTACAATACTGATACATGTATTATCAAACATCATAGATCACATTAGTTGCACGATCTAGACCAGATGTTTTAGATTTTAGGACGTGTTTATATGTAATGTATAACTTCTAACAACTATCATGTTGTTTCTACTTTTAAACCGATGAAAATGTTTAACCTAGCAAAATAATAGCCGGCTTTGTTTGGCCAAAAAATGTAAATTGTAATTTGTATTACTGTTGTATGTGTCACCACTGGAATTTAAATCCGGTTGAATGCATGTTATTGGGAGAAGAAAAAAACGATTTTGTTTTGTTTTGTTTTTCATATGAATTTATGATGTGGGTCGTATGAATGAAACATAGTAATACTCAAGCTAAATCCAAATTAAATTGCCGTATTAAGTGATCTGGTTTTAGTTATGTAAACTTACAATACCAAGTCAACACAACTTGAGTCTGGTTAGCATTTATTGTACCAAAATTAAAAAAAAAAAAAAAGTTCAGAAGCAGTAGATAAATCGTTTTGGACTAAATATAGGCTAGTTAGTTTGCGTTCTATCCAAATCTAAAGCTTACACACGTCTTATTCGCCTGTAATAGTGTCAACGTCGACGATCTAGAAACACGACCCTATCTTTAGAAGAAAAACAGATGAATAAAGTTTTACAAAACATAATCATCTTCTTAAAAATTTATTTATTGACCCCACCTATTACACAGTTTCTGAATCTTACCACAAATTGAAGATAATAGTACTCTACATACAATATATCAGTTAGCCTTATACATTATCTCAGTTATCTATTCATAAGAGATGCATTATATATGCTAATTTTCTGAATTAAAGTTACATGTTTCAACTAACACAAAGTTAAATCTGGATGTAGTTAATTAAATTTAACAGTATTGGGGCTGAATCCGAAACATAATTAAAGTACATGGGCCATATCGAAATGTTTACCCAATAAAAAGACTAAACGAGACTTTCCTTGTTGTCAAAGTGTTCTATAAAAGCAACGTTAACAGACTAAACCCCAAACAACAAGAAGAACCCAAAAAACGAGAGAAAGTAGGAGAAGACGAAGACGAAGAAGAAGAAAATGAAATTGGTTTGGTCTCCGGAGGCTGCATCTAAGGCTTACTTAGACACAGTTAAATCGGTAAGATTTCTTTTTTTCCGGTGATTCGTGTCGGAAAAACCCAGGCTTCGTATCAATTCACAAGGATCGTGCCAAAAGATTCGATTTTTTCTCGAATTCTCGAACAACAGATCTTAATTTCGACTAAATATGCGTGATTCGTTCATGTACTGATCTCTCTCATTCCTTTTTTTTCTCTTCAGTGCGAGAATCTTGAGACGCCGGACGCGGCGGAGCTAATAGCGGCGATGGCGGCAGGATGGAACGCGAAGCTGATCGTGGAAACTTGGTCAGACGGAGACGAAATAGCCTCAAGTATTGGCTTAAACGTCGCGAGCCAACACGCAAACGCGAAACACATGTGTATTGTACAAAACTCAAGATCAGAATCGGCTTATCTCCAAGCCATTCAAGAATCTTCATCTCCCTCGAGCTTACCAGAGACGATCGTCGCTGATGAAACCGAGAACGCGATGAAGAAGATACAGGGAATCGATTTCTTGGTCGTGGATTGGCGGAACAAGGAATTTGCAGCGGCTGCGTTGAGAAACGCTGCGTTTGGAAGAAGAGGAGCGGTTGTGGTTTGTAGAAATGGGTATTCGAGAAGTCCTTTGGGTTTTAGCTGGAGAATGGCTTTAGGAGACCGGAAAGTTGTTAGAACGGTGACTCTGCCGGTCACCGGAGGTATTGAGATTGCTCATGTGGCTGCTCGGAACTCGGGGAAGAGTGAGAACAGGAAGAGAAGATGGATCACACATATTGATCAGAGATCAGGAGAAGAACATGTATTTAGTATTTAGAAAGTTAGAGACAAAGACAATTGTGAGAAATGTTTATTTGGATTCTTGTATTTCACTTTGTACATAAGATTCCATAGATGTTATATTTGTATCATACTTTGTCTTAAAATCTCTGCTATAACTGATTCTATGAAAAAAAGCCTACATCGTTTTATCATCACTTTCACTTAATTAGTCCTCTTTGTCTTCTAATTAAACTTCTATACGCTTGAAAAATTGAAAACAATTTAGCGCAATTAGTTTAATTTGCATGGCTTTTATCGGCCATATACTTGTTTGAAAGAACTATTTTGCTTATAAGGTGATAGGCCAGGGCATTACTTGGTTTTTTTACGTCTTTCACAAATTTTTTCTTTTGTTAGAAATGCATCATGTGATGGAGTAAAACTAAAGGCAGACAGATCAAAAATAGTATGAGGAGAGTGGATCATTCCACCAGTGCGTTTCATGTGATGAGGTTCAAACTTGCAAAAGATGATCCACTGGGTCAAAAGTAGCATTTATTTAAGAACCGACCATTGAAGATAATCATAGACTCATATAGGCAGAATGATCACTAAATGTCATCACGTTGGGCTCAAGAACAGTTCTTTAGGATTTGCTTGAGCCCATCACATGAGAAACTCTCCATGATTCTTGCCAGAGGAAAAACTAAACCACTTATTTCCGGTTTAATATTGGGAAATATTTCAAGACTCCCAATCTTTACCTTCGGTTAAGGTAAAAAAAAAGCAGCGGTTCTGTTAACGCTCTATCAACCCAATCTATTAGGGCATAGAATGGGTTAATCTAAACTCAACTACTTCAAAATTGAAAGAGGCTTTTTGTGTTCTTTCAAAATTCCACTTGAATAATACCAAAGTGAAAGGAATAAAAAAAGGTTTGATGAGTGAAAGTGTACGTTGAGGAAAATACAACATGGGAGAGAAAACAGATGACGCTTGGCGTTTGTCGTGAACCGAAGTTCCCTGCGGTGTTGGGCTGTCCGGATCTTGAGCGGTCTGACCAGTTAATGCGATCAGTAATATTATCTCAATTTTATAAATAAATAGAATGCGAAAAAAATTAGGAAAATTAAATGAGAAAAGAGGTAAGGAGAGGCGTCACGTGCACATGATCCAACCGATGAATAGAGACATGTCACGCAAAGTCAGCCAACTTTCAGAGCCCAAAAGCCAAAACCAAAAACCCTTTCAAAAATTTATCGTTTTTGGACGATCTTACCCTCTCATTGTCCCATTTATTACCATCACATGCCCCTTGTTCTTCTCTCTTCTTTTTGTGTGTGTTAGCTGGCTTTTTTCCCTTAATTGAACTTATAAAAAGAATTATACGATATCACCAGGATGCTGAAAACTACAATAATCAAAATGATTTTGCCTTAGTTTCTCAATTCTCGTGCTTCTTTATAAATTTCAAAAACACAATCACATGAAATATAGAATGAGAATTAAAAGTTGGGAGCTGAAAGAGAAGAAAGACCCAATGAATAAGGCACACCAATCTAACAAGTCATAGGCCAAGAGATGTTTTTGTTTGGTAATGTGGGTCAACCAATCTCATAAATGAGTTAGCTGGATTTGCATTTGATGCTCTTCTCACTCAGAATTCAATGTGACAATTCCCCCTACTCTATATTTATTACTAAGCAACAAATAATAAATACAAACTTTCATATCTCATTTTAAGCAATTTGATGTCTATGTTTTCTTTCGTATTCACGAGATCTAATGAATTATGGAACCACATATCATAAATTCTTTAACTATGAAAACAATGATCTAAGTAAATGAAACATGGTACAACGGCGCAGTAGAAATTGGCATAAGCGGTAAAATCAATACAATTCTTATAAATAGGAATCCCCTTTATAGGTTATCATTACCAAAATTGATGCTAAAGCTAGGATTCACAATATTTTGATTATTGGTATAATTTTTGAAGTTTCCACTATAGGCTGGTCTTTTGTAGTTTCCACTATAAGCTGGTCTTTGTAGTTTCCACTATAAGCTATGTATGTTGGATTCTAATGGAAGCAGAATTAGAATACAAAACATAACTTCCAAACACCAAATCTATATGCAACCCAGTATGCATTTATTGGAAGCAATTTTTTTGTACACTTTATATGAAAAAGGAAAAAGATTGAAAAAAGGTGCATATAACTCTCTCTCTCTTTTTCTGACGGTGATTGTCGTTACACAATAAATATACGCCTACGTATATGTATAGCTTTGTTTGTATTTTGTATAGTTCCAAGTAGATGTCTATCAAGACATGGAAATCACGTCAAAGTACTCTGTGAGTAAATTCATTATGTGGATCTTATTTTCAATTGTTTGAATCCTTGCGTGTCGAATTCATGATATAAGCAGGATAAAAAGAGTACTTTCTTGCGTCAATAAACAATTAGCTGCAGATTAAATCACGTGTTATCGCATGAACTATAAAAAGAGTTCCGTGTATTACAAATGAAATATATAGAAAACTAGACATAAACAAAGAATTATTTAACAAAATATAAGCTATATGCAAGAATATATATATGAGTTATGCATGTGTACTATATACACTAGGTAGTTATAGATGTTATTTTATTTAAATTGCTAGGATTTTTTTATAACAAATATAACGCTTAATTAGGTGCGACCAAATATTAGTAATACATATTAGCAGCTATAGCGGCAGTATTTCAGCAATAATCTTGGTTACTTTAATTTTAACGGTGGAATTGGACTGACGGATTAGTACGTTGCAGACTAAGCTTTTTTTTGCTGATAGCAGAGACTAAGCTAATTTTATTTTTGGACGAGTAAAATAATCTGTGTAGTTACTTATTACTTACTTCTTCAACAACAAGAGGGTCCCTTATTTATTTCGTCTGCTATTTTTGCTGATGTAAATAGCTTTTAGCAAAACTCTCTGGTTTGTTTCAGAAGAAATGATCACAAGCTGACGAGATGATTTATAGATAGTGAGAGAAAACGAAAAGAGAGAAACTTATATATCCCTTCTTCTACATATCCAAGAAAACTATAATCATTGCACTTCATATATACACACACATTTTTTCAAAATATAAAATAAGATTATACTTAGTATTTGAGTTACAAAATTTTTAAGCGTTGGCAAAAAAAAAACTCGAAAAGTAACACTAGGGTTAAAGCTAACAAAAGACGTACAATCATTACAAAAATCAAATGAATGAATAAAACAACCGCCAAAAAATGAACTTTCATTATGTTGGACATTTATTTGTACAAAATGAAACTGGCGGATCGATTTATGATCTAATGGATATACTGTTGAATAATAGGGATTGTGTTTTGTTTTTGTGGAGCAATAATATGAGATTCAAATGCATATAAATAAATAATAGTATTATCTTTAGAGCGACGACAACAAAACATGTCTAAGCATAGTCTTCATTTTGGTTTTAGCTTGAACTAAGATGGAAACAAATTTAATCTTTGACCAATCTTACCGGCACAAAACCATAAGAAAAGAATCATCATTCTACGATTATTATAGTACATCATTTTTTTTCTTTACAAATTGACTTGATAATAATTTATATTATCATGTTATAGTGTCTGTGTATAAAAGTGAGATATTAAAGCAGACACAAAAAAAAAAAGAGAGCAAAGGAAAACAAAAAATGGCTCCGTCGTCTTCATCTTCTCCTTCCAAATCTCCTGTTCCATCTCTTCACCAATCCCTTCACTTCACTCCTGTAAGTCAAAACTCAAACCACTCTTCTTTGTTTCCCGGGAGAAACGCAGGAAAACAGACCTCAAATTTGTTTTGTTTTGTATTGCTCTGTGACCAAAAATGGGTTTTATTCAAATAAAATCGCGGAATTGACATTGTTTAGCAAAAATCTTCTTGTTCTTGCGTCTTTCCTCCTGATTCCCATCACTATTTTCCGAGAAAATGAATGAAAAATTCGAAGAGGCACTTCTATTAACTTTTTGTCTAAAGTTTCATCCTTTGATCTCAATGATTCCACTACAATCTGATATCGTGTCAGTTGAAAAGTTCTTCAAATCCAAAGGTTATTTTTCTCATTTGGGCATAAATTTCACCGAGTAATTAAAGAAAAATCATTTTTTTTTCCTTTTCTGTTCTTTCAGATTCCAGAATGCGAAGAAGACGACCTCTACGAAGAAAGATACAAAAACAGAGCAACCCCAAGCAGCGACGGTGGATCCTCCGCTACCCCAAGCCACCACCACCACCACCGCCGCAGCAACAACAACCACCAACATCCTCTAACGCCTCTCCACCACAACGGTAACGGAAAACCCCAAAACAAAAAACGACACGACGACGACGAGGACGACGGAGGCGCCGTCTCATGCAACAAGTGTCGGCCTCACCACTCTCACCGCGACAAATTCTCCGTCGTGCCTCTCGAAAGCCACAACAACCCTTCCTTCATCTCTAGCCCCAATCTCATTATCAAATCGATCTTTCAGTCCCTCACACGGAAAAGCCCCAAACCATCTTCGACGGCGGCGCTTCCACCGCGCTCTTCCTCCTCCGCCTCCGCCGCCGACGCTTCCAGAGAAGAGCAGTGGCGGTTAGCCGTGGCGGAGCTTTCCCATAAACTGATTCAAGCCACGAAGAAGAAAGAAGACGCGGTGATAGAAGCTTCCAGGCTGAAATCGTCCATGGCAGAGCTCGAGAAGAAACTCAATAAGCTCGAGATTTACTGCCACAATCTCAAATCGGGGCTTGATGAGTGCAGCAACAAGAAACAGAGTGTTCCGATCAGAAAAGACGGAATCAACGACAGGATCATCCAGCAATTCCTCGTATCCGTGTCGGAATCCCGATCTTCGATCAGGGCTTTGAGCAGATCTCTCGCGTCGCAGCTACGAACCGTAGGTGGAAAAGTCTACGAGCGACTCTCTCTACTCCTTCAACCTTTCGATGTAAAGATCAATTCTTTCGCCAAAAACCCTAAAAGCCTCATCTTTTACCTCGAAGCGATTCTGAGCAGAGCCTTCTTCGAGGATTTCGAAGCTCCCGGGTTTCAGAAAAACGGGTCGACCCGGATTTTGAACCCGATTGATCGTTGCGAATCCAATTACGCTTCGTTCAACGTCTTGATGGAGCTCACG